CGGGCGCTGGCTGCCGGGTCCCTGGCCCCGGCCGGGGAGAGCTGCTCCGCCCCGGCCCTTCGCCGTCGAGTGTCTGCAGAGCCCGGAGCAGGGGGAAATAGTGCAGTAAGGTGATTTGCCCAGTTAAAGCTGAGCTAGGGGCAGTTCTCGCTCCAAGGGGAGGCTTGCACCTTTCTCTGAGATCTGGGCTTTCCACGCCTTGCACTCGGGGCTTGCTTTCGGTGCAGCGAGTGACAACACGGGAGTCGCTTCTCGTTTTAGAAGCAGTAGCGTACTACGATTTGTGCCTTTTGTTTTATATAGTTAATTGGATTTAACATTGACTCTCGTTGTCCCGACTAGATTACGTGCCGGTCCGTGGGTTTCTGCCTGCTAGCGCTGTGTTTTTCTCTAGTCTGGACGGCACAAAGGTAGAAAGAGGAGATGGGGTGTCTTACAAAAGAAACAAAGTTAATTCAGTGTAAGACAAAATATCTCCTTAATAATTACCCTTTAAGAATAATGATAGAAAATGAAAGCTTGCATAATAAATTTTATAATAATAAACTCTTCAATCAGGTCACTTGTCTAAATATTTTTATGCTGATGTCCTGCCCCAGCAAGACAAATTTAACTATTAAACTCTATTTGGTGAGTACAGCTCTAAGGAGAGTTGTGTGGAATTTCAAACATCTGAATCTGCCTCTGGACTGATGTTACATCAGCTGTCACATAACTGAGGCAAAAGGAAGGAGTGTTTCTTATAAAAAAAGTGATTCAAAAACTTGAACGTTAGATTGTATTTTGAACCCTTGGTACGTTATTTTGAGAAACTATTTCATGCTTATGAAATGCTACTTTGAAGATACTTTTAAACTGTGTAGTGTTTGGGGTTTTTTTTTCTGGCTAAAGCATGAATCCTGATTTAAATTCAAAATAGTTCCAGTATGAATGCCCATGTTCCAAGAACTGGTAATTTGAACAACGTTTGATGGGTACTGGAATGTATTTTTATCATAACTAGTTCAAGAGCTCCCCAGAACTTTGGTAGTACACTTCTGTTGTTTGAAAACTGAAAGTGTATTTTTATAAGTTTAACTGTATCTGAACTGTAATTTGCTTAGTGATTTGTTTGGGGTTTTGTTTTTTTTTCCTCTTTGCTAATAAAAATAAAGCTACTCTTTAACTTAAATAAAACCATTAAGGCTTCTGTTATCCTTCAATAACTTTTTTTCTGCCTTGTTTTTGCATTTCACCTGGAGAGATGCTTCAGGCATCTGTGTAAAAGTGAATGCCAAAACCCACTAGATTTACTGTTTGGTCGGGTTTTTTTTAACAGTGGTAGAAATAACGTGGGTGGCTGTATCTTTATAACGTGCTGTTCTACTGGTTTATTAAGATAATTTAGTCAGAATTACTGCATCATTTGCTTCTAAATGATCTTAACTTGCAAAGAGGATGCTGTCCATTTGTGCTGCTTTCAGACAGTTAATCTAGAGTTCACATGAACATTAGATGAGTTATGGGTGAGTTTAATTAGAAATGTGCATCTTCCCACTGGGAAAAAAACCCTTTTTTTTTCTTCTTCTGTTGTTAGCTGTTCCTGCTGTGTTGCAGACAACAAACAGGAAGGAATTTTAGTTAAGTTCCCCCGGGGACAAAAGCTAAAAGTGTAAACTTAAGAGAATTACTGCAACTTACCCAGAATCCAAAGAAGAGTTAAAACTTATTCTCAAAAAACTTAAAAAAAAAAATACACATATTAATAGTAAGTAGTTACAAGCATTTTAACTAGAAATGAAGCTTATCCCTAATGTCTTATGGAAATGCTTTGGGGGGGGGAAATACCAAAAAAACCAAAACCAAACCAATTTATCTCAAACATTAAAATTCTTAAAAAGATAGTTCAGTTAGTATTCTTAGCATGTCTTTTTTAGTATTCCTCTTAGGTTTTGGTTTTACAGTTCTTAAATGTGTTGTTTTCAGGTCATGACTGAGCAAACTTAAAGCTATTCTAGTCAGACAAACCCAACTACTAATATTTGTGTATTTTTCTGTGCTGTAGTTAGGAAATTTGCAAAAGTCTGAATTGTTTTTCTTTAGCAGGTGACTGGTGGAAGAGAGAGACCTGTTTCTGACTATGTCGAGGAAAAAGCTGGAGAACAAAAGCTTTTCTGGCTTGTTAGCTACATCTCTGCAGACACAAATCAAGACAGATAATTTCCACAATTTTTATATGCTTGAGTCAAAAGAGCTGGGAAGGTAAGATTAGTTCTGTTTATTTTAGTAAGAGGAATTTCTGCTGGGAGAGAGCTCTTTGTGCAGTGATGGACCTTTCCTGGCAGTAGATGGGGGTTGAAGTATGTCTCTTTCCTTCCCCACCCCCTCCTTTGCAGTATCCAAAGGGTTCTCTAGGGACCAGGAGAAGGTGCAGTGAGACATAAGCTGCCAGCCTTTTCCATGTCAGGGGGGCTTAGCCTCTTTTCATAGGCACGCCACCTGGGATCACGTTCTTTTCCTTCCATTTCCCCTGTCTAGTCACACGTCACATTCCAGGTACATAAACTAAAGAAGAGATGACACAGGGTAATACTGGAAGACACAGAGTGGGGATTTTGAGTTGGTGGTTCTGGTTGTTTGGTTGAGTTTTTCTGAAGTCCAGGAAACAAAGACCTTTTTTCTCTCCCCTCCCACCTTCAAGCAAAGTTTCAAACCACCTGCTATTGCAGAACAGTTTTGCAGCCTGCTTCCCTTGCTCAGATTTGCAACAGTAAAACAGGAAATAATCAAAAGAAGACAAAGAAAACCGTTGGTAGTTATGATACTGCATCAGACATAAGTTGATGCTTTTTTTTTAAATCACAGGGTTATTTTATACCTTGAAAATACTCAGTGAGTTGTGTGTCATGCTGTGCAAACATGCTGCCAGGGCCATGCTGCCAGGCTCCTTGAGCAGAAGTGGCATGGGTTGGTCTTACAGTTGTGTCTTGCTGTGCTACATTGCAATCCTTTGCACCCACAGCTTGTTTTGTCAGCAGAGATGCTCTTCTGTGTGTGATTTTTGTAAGCTCTTCAGCCTTCATTGTTCTTTTGGGTTTGTGTGGGTTTTTTTCCCTAGCATGTGCTGTTCCCCTTCTATGAGCTGCAAGGTGTACTTTTATAACTTTTCTCTCTGCTTACCTCTCTCTGCTCTAGTTTTGGATTCTAGGCTCTAAGTAAGGAGTTATATGCACCATTGTCTAGAACTCCAGGATTCTGAAAACACTGGATTTTCAGATTATGTGCCTGTGAGTTGTTGTCTGAAGCAAACAAAAATATAGAATTTATGTGCATCCCAAAATGCAATCTTTAATAATTGCTTTCTATACATGTATAAACAGGCATAACAAAATAAGTGCCAAAGGGCAAAGAAACAGAAGCAGAGTAGTGTGTTTTCCAAACATACTTTTGACTTTTCCTGGCCTAACAGTGTGTGTGTGTATATAAATAATATTTCAAGTGTTTACAACACTTCCTAAGTGATGTGAAATCCACCTTTGTAGCTTCTCTAAAAGATTTAATATGCTTTTCTTTCCACTTGCAATTTTCTTCTTCCTCTTCAGGTTGCTTAGTAAATAGTTCCTTTGTTCTTCTCTGCTTAAGCTTCCCCAGTCCCATTTCTTCCTCCCACACCCTTATCTTTTAGGGCCTTTGGTATTTAAGACACTGACTCACAAAGCTGGCAGGTTCTGTTTAGTGGGTTAAGGAGTTTTGTCCCCAGAGTGTGGATGGCTTGGCCTCTTGTGAAGTAGTTGAATTTCTGTGGTTTATAACTTAGGATATGAAAACAACTTGAAATCAGTCTGTCTCATGAAACGGCTGTGAAGTGTGATGGTGAAGCAGTTGCTTTGCAGGCAGCAGGGAGTGGGGAATCCTTTGCTTTCTTCAGTGCAGCACTTCAGACCTGAATCTTTTTGCATTTCTGGGGAAATGTCGCTGTCCTAGAACAATTTTTTGTCTTAATTTTGTTGTAATTGGCACACTACAAACACAGTATAAACAAATGGAGATTCTTACATCATCAATCTGGAGATACCATGAGCCTTCAAAGCTCTTACACCCACAGCAACTACAAGGAAGCTGTGCAAAAACTATTGGGGGACATCTTGATGTTCTTACGAAACTCAACCACTTCCCTTTTCTTAATTTTAGTGAAACGTGCTTGACATAGTGATGTGATGTTCAAATGAGACTGTAAACTATGGAACAGTAACTTAAACTTTGGAATATTATGAAATTCAACTCAAGAACTTGTTAATCCAGCTTATTATTGCAGTTTTATTCACTGGGAAAGGACTTGGCCATTTCAGGCTTACAAATAGTTGCTAGAAGGAAGAGTGTGTATTTATCACACTGTAAATAACTTTCACCTCTTAAATTTTTCTTTTGAGTTTTGTACTCTTAAAAGCAAAATATTTAGAAAGGTAATAAAGGACTAAGAAATTCTACAACTGTTTGTTGAAATTAAATGATGAAGGGAGCTGTTTTGTTGTGTATAAATAACCTGCAGGAGTGTGATTAAAGGTCAACTTTGTGGTTAATAGTTTAGTTAATTTGTACAAATTATTTAAAATGGTTATTTCCCAATGGAACTTTTTTTATGAGATGCTCATACCTTTTTTAATTAAATACCAAGGTCTAGATTTTTTTTTTTTTCAAAATGTCTCAGGCATGTGCTTGTTTGTTTAAGAGATGTTCCTTTTAGGCATTGGGGTTTTTTATGTCAGAAGGAAGGCAAAGCCTGCAGGGCAGCATAGTCTTTTCTACTGAACAATCGAGTTGAAAGCAGCACAGCTTAGTGCTCGGGTCCTTCAGTACGTTTGTTCTTAGTATGCAGTGGTAACAAAAACATGTGTGAAAGTCGTTTTTTTGAAGACTTAAGTGTAGATCGTGTTCTTTGTCCACAGTTTTACAACTGTTTTTAGAACTTTCCACAATTTATTTTAGCCCTTCGAGTTGGCTTTTTTTAAAAAATGCTTCTTGTATAGTTTGAAAACACTTTGCAAGTATGCAGCTAGGCATTTCTGGGAATGCAGAACTGGTGATTATAAAACTGTTTTTTCAGGAGTTTATAACTTGGCTTAAAAACCTGCATTTTTTTTCTCCTAATTTTTTAAAAGGTCAGCTTGGTGTTTTAACTACAGAATGTGGTTTTCTTTTAAAAACATCCATTTGCCAAAAACATTTTTGTTTCCATACCTAAACGGCTGGCTAGGAAATAATGCAGCACACTGCCCAGCTAAATGGGAAAGAGAATGCTAAGAGGTGGATGTTTTTCTGTTAAGATGGTTTTAAACATTCTGCAGATACCTGGTTTTTTTGGTTGTGTGGTTTTGTTTTGTGGTTTTTTTTTAGCAGTACTACATGATTTGTGGAGGGAAATTCTCTTTGACTAAAATTTTCTGCACTGAAGACCTTCCCCTCTCCCTCCCTCAGCATAGGGATGTACTTTGTTTTTGTGTTCCTTCTCTGCTTTCACAAGGGTTTGCTTTGTTTATTACTGTAACCTGTAGGTGCTACAATGTGCTTGAGTGGGTTTTTTGGTGGAATATTGCCAGCCTGAACAAAGCCCTGGGCAGCCTGGTAGGATCTCATAGCTGGCTCTGCTTTAGGCAGGAGGTTTTGCTGGAGACCTTCAGGAGTCACTTCCAACCTGAGTTACTCTAGGTCCTGTGATCCTACAGCCAGGATGTCCATGTAACCTGATGTAGTGCTTAGCTAGTGTGCTTAAAGGGAACTGAACCTTGCCAAAGCTCCATCTAGCTTAGTATCCTTTCTCCTACAGTGGTGGAGTAGAATGTTCAATGCATAGTGTAAGAACAGGCCAGACATGGTGTTCCCCTGATAATCATTTGGGCTTGTTTTAGTTTCCAGTTATTTCCATGCCTTTTTATTTCTAATGGAAATTCATGTAGCTTTAGTGTCGTAGTTCTTAATGTTTGCCCTTTTGTTTTGCAGAGGAAGATGTGCTGTGGTTAGAAAATGTATAGCTAAATCCACAGGCCAAGAGTATGCAGCCAAGTTTTTAAAAAAAAGAAGAAGAGGTCAAGACTGCAAAGCAGAGATTCTTCATGAGATTGCTGTACTTGAGTTAATGAAATCTAATCCTCGCGTCGTTAATCTCCACGAAGTCTATGAAACAGCAAATGAAATCATCTTGGTGTTGGAATAGTAAGTATGCCTTCATCAGGTGTCCCACGTCTGTAGTTACAAGTTTGTCACTACGTTATGCTAATATTTCAGTGCTTTATAAGCTCTGAGGGACTTTTTTGCATGATTTATTTTCATGTAAATGCAAGAGTTGAATCACTTGTTGTTTGTTCGGTTTTGTGTGTTCTGCTACATCTACAACTAATAAGTTATGGTAAAGAATATTGAGTAAGGCATAAAAGAAAATACACCAAGACCTCTAGTAGACCTGTAATACAATTTTTTTTTTTTAAATGGAGATTTTTTTTCTACAAAAAGCTATTAAAAAAGTACAGTGATTCTTCTTTCTTCTCTCTACGTGACTCGGGTTCATGGACAATTTCATTCAATTTCAAATAAATATTTTATTTGCCTTTAAATACTACCACAGGAAGGTAATTTTGATTAAAGCTTGCCTCTTTGAGCAGATTTTTCTGCTGCTAGTTGGATTTTTATAAAAAAAAGTCTGATGAATTTTTGGGTCAGGCTAGCCTAATACAAACTAATTTCTGTAATTATTATTGTTTTCCTTAAGGGATTTTTCGTGCAAGCTGACCAGAGAGAATATTCTTGAAACATATAGAAAGTGCCTGGTGCTTTGATGCATCTTAAATCATACCAAGAAATAAGTAGCTACTGATAGCAAGCACTTAGATTTTGAAGAAGCTGAACATGTCCATGTTCTGTGAACTTCAGTCACCACTTGACAGTTCTTTGTGACTGAAAACCTGCAATTCCTTTGCAGGCTCTGAGGGTCTAAATTTGGTGGGTTTGCTGTTTTAAAACTGGCTTTTGAAGCAGTTTCCTCCAGTATTTCCATAGCTTTTTAGATCCCTCTCTGGCTTCTAATTAGCTCTGAAAACAAGTCTAATTTGGGAATTCAATTTGAATTACCTATTATTTGCTCTGTGTAAACTTTTGTTTAGATCATAAGGAATAAAAATACTAGTTTGTGAAATGAAGAAAGTCTCTGTTTAGGTTTCTAAGGTTTATGTACAAAGTATCTGAAGAGCTGTTAATGGTGGTCTGCACACACCATCATAAATTCCTTCAAATTTTCCAAAGAATGTAGCTAGACAATCTTAATTTATTTTTTTTTTCTGGTACTAGATGATCCCTAACATAATTTTTTCTTGAAGACAAAAGTCCATATGACATTTTTCTTATCAAGAACCAGTGCAAGCTTACATAAAAGCCATACTGAATTTCTTGCTTCTGTTTTGGCTCAGCCAACTGTCTTGCTCTATACCACATTGGTGCTAATGATCCACTCTGTAGCAGTGTTCAGAATTCTTGCAGTTTCTTCTTCTATTGGGAGAAGCAGAGGGCTGGTTGTGCTTTTAAATTACATCTTTCTGTAGCAGAATACACAGTCTTTTTGTTTCTCATCAGGATTCTGAAGCAGTACTTTAAAAGAATTGCCAGAATAAGTCTCTTACATGTAGTTGATAAGTATTTCCCATTTAACTGTATTTTATCTCCTACATATGGTCCTTGCTGTTGTTGGATTGAATTGATGGGGGTCTCTGGAAGATGTAGTAAGAATCAGTTTAAGAACACATTTTCTAAATAAAGGAGAGAAATGGATGCTAATTCTTAATAAGGCAATCTTTGTAGAAGGAGTTACTGAAGATGTGAATACTTCTAAAGCTCCACAACAGAGGTTGTTACTCCTCTGCTCTGAGGGTCAGAGGTAATGGGAGGAATCCAGACATTCACTAACTCATTTTACAAGTGTACCAGGAAGCTGTACTCATTTTCAAATCTGGTTCTGTTCACTGAACTAAGAAAGGCCCTGCAGAGTCACATCTGTGGTCTGTCTAATCTGACATTTCCAGCAATGCCTGTAGGGAGATGCTATTTAGGGAGAGCTAAGGAGCCTGTCCACTTTTTGCCATCCCTTCTCTTTGCAGTGCTGCCAGAGGTATTGTACTGAGGACACCTCCCTGCAGGTTCTTTTAGTATCTGTTCATGGGCCTGTTGTCCGTGAATCTTTTGTCCTTTTTTGAACCTGTTGATACAGTTTGCTTCGGTGGTAATAAGTTCCACATGTTCATTACATAATGTGTGTAGAAATACTTTTATCTGTTTTAATCAACCAATTTAATCAGGAGCCTCCTAGTTCTTACATTGTGGGATTGGGTGAATAACGGTTCTTTGTTCATCTCTAAATCAGCCTTGGTGTTTTTGTAAGCCTCGTTCATAGTCTCCCCACATCCTGCTAACCAGAGTGAAGAGTTGGTGTCTCTCTGATTTCTTTTTGTATAGCAACTGTCTCTTTTCTTACATGCCCTTCTCCATCTTCACTAATCTTAAACACTTCTTGAAGATACAGAAACCAGGACTACATAGGAAGGTTTTATACTGAGTATCATTTTGTGCTGTAGTTTTGAAGTAGCCCTTTCAGGCAATTAAAGCAGGATGAATGATTTCAGACCCAGCAGGAAAGGAGACAGCTGACAGTGTAGCAAAGTGTAGAGGTATAACTAATAAACCACATGCAGCACAGTTATTTCTATGCTTCCTTCCTGCTGCACTAGTAGGAAGGTTTTCTGTAAGTGAACAACAGCCTTTTTCTGAGGAAAATACATTTGAGATGCTGTGTGAAAACAGGAAGCTTGTCAATCTCATCTTTGTTGGTGTGGAAACAATCAATTTCAAAAGGACAGAGCTGAGTCCTTGTGTATCTGCATATTGTGTGTCTACTGGAATTCTGGAAGGTGACTGCTCACTGACTGGGCAGCTCTGTATTTAATTGGCAACAGCATGTGAGATTTTCCTCCTGGTACCTCTCTGATTTTCAGTCACAAAGTTGTTTCACTGTCTCAACTGCCATTGCTGGCTAGGAGGAAAGAAAAAGCATCATCAGGCTTTTTTTTCCTCTTTTTTGACATGTTTATATCATGTGTCTTGGCATTAGTGTGTGTAACAAACAAAACCAACCATAAACTCCCATAATAACAAAACAAAAAACCAAAACAACCCCTCCCTGACTGGCAAATATTCCCAGACACTTTGAGAGTATTAATGTATCTTATATAAATATGTATGATATAGTATTTTTTTCTCTCACTTTGTGTGAAAATTCAAACTTAATACATAAATGTCCTTGAATGTGTTTCAGTGCTGCTGGAGGAGAAATATTTGACTTGTGTGTCCCAGATCTGGATGACAGAATTAGTGAAAGGGACATTGTAAGACTTATAAGACAAATACTTGAAGGACTACGCTGTTTGCATGAAAACAATATTGTTCATCTTGATTTAAAGGTGAGGATAAAGCAGACTTTTAATGATTTATCCTCAGTTTAATATTATCATAAAGTAATTTATTAAATATGTTACAAAGATGAGGAGAGAAAGTATAACAGAAACTAAAATGTCATTTAGTTCTTTGGATATTTTTGATGGCTTGTACTTTATTGAGAATTAAATCTTTTCTGTTCTAGCCTCAAAATATTTTGCTGAGCAGCATCAATCCTCTTGGTGATGTAAAAATTGTAGATTTTGGGATGTCTCGGAAGCTGGAGAGTTGCAGTGAACTGCGGCAGATCATGGGGACCACAGAGTATCTAGGTATGGGAGAGTTGCTTTGCCCTTTCTGAGAAAATGGGAGCAGTTCATCTAATGTGCTTGTCAGCTTATCAGCCCTTACTAGAGAAAGAACAACAGGACAAGGCACCATGTTTTGAGATGTTCTTTAGAGTTGTAAACAACTATTTTAAATCCCAAGTGACATAAATAAGCGTTTCTCTGATTTCATGCGTTAGTATTTGCTGTGTTGCAGACTGATAAATCAACAAGAGATTTTGGCTGTTAAATTCTTTTGATTAGAGTTAAAATACAACATTAACATGTGTACAGAAATGTTCTTTCAATTAGCAATGCCATTTAGGATGATGTTTTAATGAGATTAACGTGTCCCTCGGCAAGGGGAAGGTTGCCATTAACACTTGGCCCCCTCCGAGGGGCAGGCTTCCTTAATGATTGCCTACACTCCATTTGAAGAGCATTTCCATCTGCAGTGAACACCTTGCTATCTAGTGTACACTCACAGCCACTGATCCCAAAAATGGCTTGGTCATCTGGCTATGCAGTGTTAGCATGCTGAAGGGTTTATGCATTGCCCTTAAACAGCTATGTTTGAAAACCTCCTAGAGGAATCTTTGTGTGCATACATCTGATAAAGATCTTGAGTCTCAGGTAGAACAGACTTTAGGCCACATAGTGACATTTTAGTGTGAACTGATGACACATCGTTTTGTCTAATAAAAGGGATTGCCCTTAAACAGCTATGTTTGAAAACCTCCTAGAGGAACCTTTGTGTGCATACATCTGATAAACAAAGATCTTGAGTCTCAGGTAGAACAGACTTTAGGCCACATAGTGACATTTTAGTGTGAACTGATGAAACATCGTTTTGTCTAATCAAAGGGAAATAACTTTTTCCACCCTTGTGGCTTGCCAAATTTATAAACTTGATTATTGAAACTGCATGTTTAGTCTCATAGTAATCGTTGGCAAAAACCTGCCGGAAATGTAGTGTATGATTCAAGGCCACTTGAACAATATCTCTATTAAAGTTTTTCTTCTCCCCATTTTTTCTCTAGCTCCAGAAATCTTAAACTATGATCCTATTACCACAGCTACAGATATGTGGTAGGTTGTATATGTTAATTTTATTCAGACATGACCATTTCTACAGTCTAGGGGCCAGATCCAGACTGCGGCAGTTTTATCTAGCTACCAGAATACCCCTCTCTTGGTGGGCTGACCAAAAGAGACCAAGAGTTGGGAGGGAGCTGGAGGTGGCAGGATATAACTTGGGGCTTACAGGAGTTACTATATATGGGTTTCTTGCACAACTAGTGTGGAGTGCAGGTGGCTTCTGAGCATGTAGAATATAAGTATTTGTTCTAAGGGAACAATAATGATTGGATAGCATATTTTAGGTATTAGTTACTCTTAGATGACGTGTTTCAGATATTAAATACTCTTGGACATTCCTTTCTCCCCACTTCCTTATCATAAAAAAATACTTTTCATTTGTTTAATAGAATTAACTTTACACTTACTGTTAGAGCAATATCTGCAGGATGAGTCACAAAAAAGATGAGACAGATATCTTAAAATAATTCACAGCTTTATTAAACATGCCTTTGTAGCCATGAGCTGTGTTAGTGTAAAGGCTAGCTTTGAGATGTTTCCTTAAAAACATCATGTGCTCTTCTTGAGCATCTAAATAAAGTTCAGTTTTCAAAGTTGCTATGATCTAATTACTCCTTTGAAATTCCCATCTCATAGTAAGTAAATCTGTTAGTGAATGTGTTTTAACCACAAGGGGATATTGTAACACCATACTTCAACCAGAACTGTAGTGAAAGATGGGGGGTTATTTATATACAGATTAGAAGTCTTATTTTTTTTAGTTCTATCATCCAGAATTACCATATGCCCAAGAATGGGCTATATAAAAGTGGTTTCCTTTTCCTAAGAATCTCAATGGGAAGAGAAGGGTATATCAAAAATAAGCAATTTTCAAGAAACCCATCATTAAGATAGATACATAGCTTTCCTTGTGTGTGCATGTGCATGCATGCTTGAATCTCATAACTTCTGAGTGTGCCATACATCAGGAAGCTTCATTGGCAGCACAGTAAATATTGGGGGTATATCATGTCATCACCCAAGTAGGATTATACATTATGTTCTTCTCTCAGGAATATAGGTGTAATTTCATACATGCTGCTGACACAAGAATCTCCATTTGTGGGAGCTGATAATCAGGAAACCTACCTTAATATTTCTCAAGTTAACGTGGATTACTCAGAAGAAACATTTTCATCAGTTTCACAGCCTGCCAAAGACTTCATTCAAAAACTTCTCAGAAAAAATCCAGAGTAAGTAACAAATTCCTCTGGGCAAGAATCTTAACATTTTATGTTTGTGGGCCACCTAGAAAAAGTGAATGTTAATTTGGGATCTTAATGCCACTGATGTGATTAGTCAGACATTTCAGAATGCACTGTTATTGTCAGCTGGATAATTTAAAGTGTAGGTTTAGGCTCGCTGTCTGGCTATTATTATCACCAGGCTTCTATTTTGAGGTTTTTTATTTTGGGTTTTTTATTCAGAGGATGGATTATTAACAAATCTGATGAAATATATTCCAGAAAGGTCACATTCATGTCTGTAATTTAACTTTTTATTGCAGTTTTGAGAGACAGAGTGGAATCTTTCTGATACAGTGCTTCCTTGTTTCTTGACTTACCTTTAATGTCTCTTTCTATTTCAATGGATTTTATATAAGAATTTGGCAATCCTCTGAGCATGTATTCAAAAATAGTGTTTTGCTACATTCAGTCTTTTAAAAAGTTCTCTGGCCAAAAAATAGTCATGTGTTCTGGTAGAGTTAAGGACAAGCAGTGGGCTCTGCATTTCCAACAAGTTCTGTGGAACTCAGCAATGTAGAGTATGAGGAAAACTGTAGTAGCACTGTACTAGGTTATCTGAAGGAACACTTTGGTGTCTGGTTTGTTTGGTAGTAACTATATTTTGGAAGGGTTTAGGCCACATGAATTGCAAGAGTAAAACACAGCAAAATGTCAGAGCTGATGATACAATTTTATTTGGCCCTCCTTGAAAATCTAATGGCTGAATATTCATTTGCCTCCCTATTTACAATGTCCTGTATAAACACAGGACTTCCAAAGTGTAAATATGTGTGTATATATATACACACACAATAATGGAGATATTCCACGGGTCTATGAGTAGGAGCTGAGCAAGGCCTGTCCCTTGTTCTGATGAAGAGCTTACCTCTGCTGATACTCAGCAGCAGGGGAAACTGCCCACTAACATTGAGATGCACATTGCTGGTGCTTAACCCTAGGTGTGGTTTTTAATCTGGCTTTGTAGCAGCCCTGGCAGTGCTGGAAAACCAGCACTATTAACCCTTCACTGCCAGCTTCACTGAAGATTTCTGAATATGTCAGAGCTATATTAGTGACTGTGTTAGTATTTCTAAAATTAACTTCAGCAACTTTGCCCTTTCCTCTTTCCAAGGGAAAGACCCACAGCAGAGGCCTGTCTCTCTGACCTGTGGCTGCAGCAAGGGGAGCTCACCCTCCTGTGGAGCCCTGAGGAAAGGTGCTGCTCTCCTCCCACGCCGGGACACGCCACGAAGGGCTCAGAGGAGTGGAGTGTGAAATCCAGCTGCAATGGTACCTGCAGCAGCAAGGAGGACAAAGAGAACATTCCAGAGGACAGCACCATGGTCTCCAAACGTTTCCGTTTTGATGACTCTTTGCAGTATCCCCAAGACTTTGTGACAGACTTTGTCTGTTAGTGTGTGATACAGACTTCATAAAACGAATTCAGCATAATCTACAGCAGTGGCAAATATGAGATGGTGGCTTGCCAATCCATGGAGCATTGGCAGACTGGAAATGCACTTTGATTCTTTTATGCTGGTGTTGCCTTTTCTATCCATTGCTGGCAGTGGATTTAACTCTTGAGAAATTGGGGGTGCACCAGTAAAATGAATTTTTTTTTTTTTTAAGAAGATATAATTAAATATTTTTGCACTTTTTGAGTTTTAGTACAAAAATAATGCTAGAGTGAACAAACGAAAATCTGAAAAGAAGTTTGTTTAAACTCAAGCTTTGCCAAATAGTGGTTGAATACATACATGCTTTTATGACTAGCCTTAATGAGGAATTGGTCTAAGCAGGGAAACCAAATCTGGCTTTCTTACTGGGCTTATTTGTGACTACTCATTACTCTCAATGGAAGCTAAAGTTGGTATGTTTTGGGAATGTGATACATCTGTTTGGGCCATTTTGAAAATGACTTTCTTGGATCATTAGTAAAGGAAATGTTTCTGCCTTATAGATCTGATCCACTGAGGGATTGTAATGCATACTCTGTGTGCTTTTCCTGGGTTGCATCTCTGCAATGCTTGAATGGAAAACGGGTCGACTGTCAGTCCTTGTGCCAGTGGTCCTTGGCTGCTTCTCAGGAAGTGGCATTTGAAGAGGATGAGGGTCCCATGCTGATGTGAATATTTAATCAGTTTGTTAGTTTGCTTTCATAAAACCTCTGAAATAATATAATGTACCTATTCATCATCTTAAAAAAAATAAAAGCACCTCTCAATAAAGTGTCTTTATAGTTAAAGTAATAACTGAATAAACTGAAAATAACCATTTTTGCCAGTGAAGCTGCAATTAAAATGCTGCTCTTCATTATGCCCCTCTAGTGTAGAAGTGCAGTGCATTTCTCTGTCCATTACTATCCATCATAACTTAGTTTCATGCCCACTCCAAGACACGGACTGCAGTGTGTTAGTATTTAAGGACAAACTACCTAATTGTTTGAAGCCTTTAAATTTAGTTCTAGTGAGTTTGTTATTTAAGTTATAACCCTTCTCCTTCCTGTTTTTAGGCTCTAAGGAAATAATCTTACATTGAGTTTTGATTTAGAGCAAATACCAGTCGTGCCTTACCAGCCTGAAACTAATACTGACAGGGTAAAATCCTAATCTTAGAACTGAGGCTGGAAGTCTTTGTGTAGGGGAGGGGTTAAAATT